CAACATCCCAACATCGGAGAACGAGGCGGCTTAGCGCAGCCTTTGGCTCGCAGGTTCAAGGGAGCCGCGCGGCGCTGCAAGGTTCAAGTTGTGGACGCGGGTTGCCGAGGAGGTGGAACCTACCTCGGTAGTCACGAATCAAATCTTTAATTCCATCAAGAAAGTAACTCGCAGCGCCTCACCTATCACCGTCTTTAAGGGAATTATCGGTGAGCCGATCTCCGACCCCCCACCCCCCAGGAATTGGTCTGCAGGTTTCAAGAGTATTTCTGTGAGGTCTTGAGGGACGGGGAAATCCCTCAGCCCAGACAACATCATGGGGTTGTGGTGCCTCAGATATTGGCAGAAGTAGCCACCCCTTCTGTGTGGTTGGCTGAGGTGCCATCTGTGGAGGAAGAAAACGAGAGGCGATCCGGAGTCTGAGACCAGGAGAGTATCTCTCAAACGGAATTCTGAGGGAGAGTGGCGTTTGTGTGCGGACTGCCCTACGTGACATCAGCACAACCGTCTGGACCACAGGACGGGTTCCACAGGGTTGGAAGGATGCCCTGGTGGTCCGCCCTCTTTAAGAAGGGGAACCCCACAGATTGTAGCAACTACAGGGGAATATCCCTCCCCAAAGTGCAGGGAAAGGCGATCTTGCACGGACGCCATTTTCCCCTCTCTGTCTGCTCCAGTAGAGGTGTAAGCAGCTGGTCAAGGCCTATGATACCATCAACAGGCCAGAGCTCTGGGCTGTTCTTCGAGCTTTGCGAGACCCTGACTCTCTCATCATGATCATTAAGGACATTCATGATGGTGGGCAGACCCGGGTAAAGCTCTGAGGCCAGGAGTCGAAGCCATTCCCTGTTCACCTTGATGTGCGACAGGGATGTCCTCTGGCTTCCACGTTATTTAACATCCGTTTCGACCACGTAGTTCGTGAAGCCTTCGATGGCTGTACTGGATGATTTTCCATCTGGTACAGATACAATGGGAGGGTGATCGATGCCTGGGTGCGGTCGAGGGATGGCTTCCTATTGGTCAACCACGTTACGTATGCCGATGATATGGTAATAGATGCTCATTCAGAGGAGAAGTTGGAGACACTGCTGCTGAGACTGGAGCGTGCCGCTAAGAGGTGGGGTCTTACCATCAGCCCCACAAAACTGAGCACCTGCCTGGGTATTTAGTACCATCAGACACTCCACCCCAACAACTCCCCATTGGTGATGGAGCAGTGTGCGTATGACCAGATCCGGTTTGACAGCAGAGGTCTCATTCCAAGTCAGTCCGGCGGCAATATCTTTTCATTGGTTGCATAATGCTGTGTGGAAGCTGCCTGGTCTGTCGCTCCGCACGAAGCTTCGGGTCTTCTGGGCCACAGTCATGCCCTCTCTTTTCTGATGCTTGTGAAACGTGGACCCCTCTAATAGAACATCTGTGCTGGTTTGAGACATTCATCTTGGCATGCTTACGATCCATCCTGGGTTTAACCAGGCTGGATTGTGTGAGGAGCTCACAAATCCTTGAAAGATCTGGACACATTCCCAGCAGTGAGCTCATCCGACAGGCAAGGCTGTGTTGGCTGGGTCAAGTAGCCCGCATGCCCAGCCACCGCATGCCCAATCAGCTTGTGTTTCATCGGATAGAGGGGGCTAAACGGGCGCGGAACGAGCTGGAGAAGAGATGGAGTGATGTGGTACAGGAGGATGTGGAGCTGAGTGGACCTGCCGAAGACTGGTACCAGCGGTGTCAAGATCAGCCTCTGTCGAGGAGGCTCGTGAAGGACGCTGCTGCTGCTACTGGGCAGTTGGAGGCAGTCGCCCTCCAGCAATAACGGAGGGCAGAGGAGCGACGCTCACAACAACGAGCGGAATGCCGGGTGGCTAAAGCACAGCAAGTTGGCAGAGTAGAGGGCACAGCTGGTGTGCATCTACCGGTCATCTTAATCAATCAAACCATGGCACATGCGTCTGCTCCGTGACCTGTTAGCGAGCCTTTGACACGTGGCCTCAAAGTGCACCTAGCCTGGCACAAGCGCCGTGGTGAATTGGTATTGTGAGTAAGAGAGTGTGAGTGGAGTGAGTAAGAGCGTGTGAGAGAACGTGAGTGAGGGTGAGTGAGAGTGAGTAAAAGTGAGTGAGTGAGAGTGAGTGATTGAGAGTGAGTGAGAGTGAGTAAAAGTGAGTGAGTGAGAGTGAGTGAGTGAGAGTGAGAGAGTGTGAGTGAGTGTGAGTGTTAGTGAGTGAGTGTTAGTGAGTGAGTGTGAGTGAGTGTGTTAGTGAGTGTGTTAGTGTGAGTGTTAGTGAGTGATAGTGAGTATGTTAGTGAGTGTGAGTGAGTGTGTAATGTGTGTGTGTAGTGTGTGTGTAGTGTGTGTAGTGAGTGTGTAGTGTGTGTGTGTAGTATGTGTAGTGTGTGTGTAGTGTGTGTGTAGTGTGCTGTGTGTAGTGTGTGTGTAGTGTGTGTGTAGTGTGTGTGTAGTGTGTGTGTAATGTGTGTAGTGTGTGTGTAGTGTGTGTAGTGTGTGAGGGGTGTGTGTGTGGTGTGTGTAGTGTGTGTTATGTGTGTGTAGTGTGTGTGTGTAGTGTGTGTAATGTGTGTGTAGTGTGTGTAATGTGTGTAGGCTGTGTGTTGTGTGTAGTGTGTGTGTGTAGTGTGTGTAGTGTGTGTGCTGTGTGTAGTGTGTGTGTAGTGTGTGTGCTGTGTTTAGTGTGCGTGTAGTGTGTAGTGTGCTGTGTGTAGTGTGTGTGTAGTGTGTGTGCTCTGTAGTGTGTGTGTAGTGTGTGTAGTGTGTGTGTGTAGTGTGTGTGTAGTGTGTGTGTGTAGTGTGTGTGTAGTGTGTGTGTAGTGTGTATAGTGTGTGTGTGGTGTGTATAGTGTGTGCAGTGTGTGTGTGTAGTGTGTATAGTGTGTGGTGTATGTGTGTAGTGTGTGTGTAGTGTGTGTGTAGTGTGCTGTGTGTAGTGTGTGTGTAGTGTATGTGTAGTGTGTGTGTAGTGTGTGTGTAGTGTGTGTGTAGTCTGTGTGTGCAGTGTGTGTGTAATGTATGTGTGTAGTGTGTGTGTAGTGTGTGTGTGGTGTGTGTGTGTGTAGTGTGTGTGTGGTGTGTGTGTGTAGTGTGTGTGCTGTGTACTGGCGAAGTGGCGCGTGTCGTGTGAATGTCCCGTTTAGAGGCGTGAAACCGCTCCCTGAGAGACGAGGGGCTGGGGGATAGTTTCTGGAGGGTCCTGATGGGTATAGGGTGGGTGATGGGTGGTGATGGGTGATGAGTGGTGATGAGTGGTGATGGGTGATGAGTGGTGATGAGTGGTGATGGGTGGTGATGGGTGATGAGTGGTGATGAGTGGTGATGGGTGGTGATGGGTGATGAGTGGTGATGAGTGGTGATGGGTGATGAGTGGTGATGGGTGATGAGTGGTGATGAGTGGTGATGGGTGATGGGTGGTGATGGGTGATGAGTGGTGATGGGTGGTGATGGGTGATGAGTGGTGATGGGTGATGAGTGGTGATGGGTGGTGATGGGTGATGAGTGGTGATGAGTGATGGGTGGTGATGGATGATGAGTGGTGATGGGTGATGGATGATGAGCGGTGATGGGTGATGAGTGGTGATGGGTGGTGATGGGTGATGAGTGGTGATGGGTGATGAGTGGTGATGGGTTATGGGTGGTGATGGGTGATGGATGATGGGTGCAGCAGGGTGGTGGGTGATGAGTGGTGATGGGTGGTGATGGGTGATGAGTGGTGATGGGTGGTGATGGGTGATGAGTGGTGATGGGTGGTGATGGGTGAGGGATGATGGGTGATGAGTGGTGATGGGTGGTGATGGGTGATGGGTGGTGATGGGTGATGGATGATGGGTGGTGATGGGTGATGGGTGGTGATGGGTGATGGGTGGTGATGGGTGATGAGTGGTGCTGGGTGATGGGTGGTGATGAGTGGTGATGGGTGATGGGTGGTGATGAGTGGTGATGGGTGATGGGTGGTGATGGGTGATGAATGATGGGTGATGAGTGGTGATGGGTGATGGATGATGGGTGGTGATGGGTGATGATGGGTGGTGATGGGTGATGGATGATGGGTGCAGCAGGGTGGTGGGTGGTGATGGGTGCGGGAGGCTGATGGGTGGTGATGGGTGATGTGTGCTCACAGCTGAAGGATGATGATGGGTGCTGAATGACGCTATCGTTTCTCTGTCTCTTTATCTCTCCTACCTCTCTCTCTCTGTTCGTCCCTCTCGCACTCTCTCGTCTCCTCTCTGTTGTTCTTCTTTTTCTCTCTCTCTCTGATTCCGTCTCCCTCCGTCTCGCCAACCCCCTCCCTCGCGCGCGGAGCCGCGTGCACGCGCATTCACTCGCACCCTCCACTCCGCTCGCACATCTCCTCATCCTCCTCCTCATCCTCCTCATTCTCCTCCTCCTCATCCTCCTCATCCTCCTCATCCTCCTCCTCATCCTCCTCCTCATCCTCCTCATCCTCATCCTCCTCATCCTCCTTATCCTCCTCCTCATCCTCCTCATCCTCCTCATTCTCCTCCTCCTCATCCTCCTCATTCTCCTCCTCCTCATCCTCCCCATTCTCCTCCTCCTCATCCTCCTCATCCTCCTCCTCATCCTACTCCTCATCCTCCTCATTCTCCTCCTCATCCTCCTCATTCTCCTCCTCCTCATCCTCCTCATCCTCCTCATTCTCCTCCTCCTCATCTTCCTCCTCATCCTCCTCATCCTCCTCTTCCTCATCTTCCTCCTCCTCTTCTTCATCCTCCTCATCCTCTTCCTCCTCCTCCTCCTCCTCCTCTTCATTCTCCTCATCCTCCTCCTCATCCTCCTCCTCATCCTCCTCCTCCTCATTCTCTTCATCCTCCTCCTCATCCTCATCCTCCTCCTCCTCATCCTCCTCCTCTTCATCCTCCTCATCTTCTTCTTCCTCCTCCTCTTCATCCTCCTCATCCTCCTCCTCCTCATCCTCCTCCTGATCCTCCTCATCCTCCTCCTGATCCTCCTCTTCCTCACGAAGGGGTCTCCCGAACCGGGCTGATGAGGTCCAGCGGCGCGCGCCCTGCAGACTCGCCCTGAAGAGGTGAGAGGCGACCGGGGAGCGGCGGAGTGGGGGGGGGGGGGCGAGCGGTAACAGGGGAGGGGCGAGGGAGGGGGTAGTGGGAGGAGGGGGTAGTGGGGGGAGGGGGTAGTGGGGGGATGGGGCAGTGGGCGGGGGCAGTGGGGGGGGGGGCAGTGGGGGGGGGGGTGTGCCAGGTGGGAGCTGGGGGGAGGGAGTCAGAGATCGTCCGCAGATTTCCGCGCGCCGTCTTCGTCGTGAAGAAGCGGACCCCTGCACGCAGTCTACACGGCGGGGACTGCGTGACGAGGTGAGGAGGAGGAGGAAGAGGAGCAGGGGCGGGGGATGAAGAGGTGGGAGGTGTAGGAATGAGTTGGGGGGGGAGTTAGAATCGCGTAAAAATCCCGTCGCCCAGCGTAGCCGGGAGAGATGATGGATTCTTAAATCCATCTGTGCGGCGATGTTTAGCGGTTGGGATTTCTACGCTGCAGGAGATAGCGTCTTGCGAGAGAGAGAGAGTGAGAGAGAGAGAGGGATTCCTAATTTGTTTGACGATGTCGAGGTGGTCGGGAGAGTTGAAGAGACTCGCGGAGACAGTGGAGAGATTCGGGGTCTGCGTTGTTTGCGAGCACCCATTAAGGCGGGGGCGGGCGGGGGGGGGGGGCGAAAGGGGCAGACGCACAACCCCGCTAGCTACTCATTTAAGGCTGATATATTCTTTAGTTCTTTCACGTAGATAGAAACATAAGAATAACATATAAAGTGAATGATAAGAGTAAAAATAAAATCAAAACAATATATTTTTTTTTATTAAAAATCTAATTTAAACGAAAATATTTTCATTTTATTTTGATCATTTAAAAAAAAAATTCTATCGACGTGACCGGAAAAAACCCCCCAAAGAATATGAATTCCTGCAGTCGCGAAAGTTTTAAGTAAAAATTTAGGCTGAGGCGATCTTGGGGAAACACAGAACCGATATCACTTGCTACTGATGAGCTGTGGCTGGGACTCTAACTCAGGCCGCCGAGTTTCGTGGAAAGGTGTGCGAACATAACACACACACAGACACACAGACAGACACACAGACAGACACACACACAGACACACAGACAGACACACAGACACACACAGACACACACGCAGACACACAGACACACACACAGACACACACACAGACACACACGCAGACACACAGACACACACACAGACAGACACACACACAGACACACACAGACAAAGGCCCCCGTATAGCCTCTACTTGATTTTGAGGCAAGTGCTATCACACACACGTGCACACTCGTGCACACACACGCACAGTCACTTGCGCACACACACGCGCAAACACACACACGCCGACACGAGTGTACACACGCAGACACACACGCACGTACGCACACACAGACACACACCCACAGACACACACGCAGACACACACACGCACGGAGATACACACACACGCAGACACGCACACAGATACACACGCAGAAACATGCACGCAGACACACACACACACGCAGGCACACGCACGGAGACACACGCACGGAGACACACACACAGACACATACACACACACAGAAACACACACAGACACAGACACATACAGACACAGACACATACAGATACATACAGACACACACACACACACAGACACACACACAGACAAAGCCCCCCCCGTATAGCCTCTACTTGATTTTGAGGCAAGTGCTATCACACAGGTATACACACGTGCACACTCGTGCACACACACGCACAGACACTTGCGCACACACGCGCGCACACACACACGCCGACACGAGTGTACATACGCAGACACACACACACAGACACACACAGACAGACACACACAGACACACACACAGACACACATACAGACACACACAGACAGACACACACACACACAGACACACACACATACACACACACAGATACACACACAGACATACACACGCAGACACACACACACGCAGATACACACACACAGACACACACGCAGACACACACACACAGACACACACACAGACATACACACGCAGACACACACACACGCAGACACACACACACAGACACACACGCAGACACACAAACACAGACAGACACACACACAGACACACACACAGACACACAGACATAGACACACACACACAGACACACACACAGACATACACACGCAGACACACACACACACAGACACACACGCACACACACACACAGACACACACACACAGACACACACACAGACACACACACAGACACACACACAGACACGCAGACACACACGCAGACACACACACAGACACACACACACACATACAGACACACAGACAGACACACACACACAGACACACACACAGACACACACGCAGACACACACACAGACACACACACACGCAGACTCACACACACACGCAGACACACACACACAGACACACACACACACATACAGACACACAGACAGACACACACACACAGACACACACACAGACACACACGCAGACACACAACAACAACAACAACAACCGCCATTCGCCACTAAGTGGCGGTGACGTCACCACGACGCTTGTGCCAGGCTATGTGCACCCTGAGGCCACGTGAAGTGTCGAACGCCCGCTGGCAGGAGGTCACGGGGCAGACCCAGGTGCCACGGGTCGACTGACTGAGATGACTGGCTGATGCACCACCTGTGCCCCCTACTGTGCCAACCTGCTGTGCTTTAGCCACCCGGCGCTCCGCTCGCTGTTGTGAGCGTCGCTCCTCCGCCCTCCGTTGTTGTTGGAGGGCGACTGCCTCCAACTGCCCAGTAGCATCCTTCACGAGCCTCCTCCACAGAGGCCGATCTTGACACCGCTGGTACCAGTCATCGGCAAGTCCACTCAGCTCCACGTCCTCCTGTACCACATCACTCCATCTCTTCTCTAGCCCGTGCCGCGCCCGCTTAGCCCCCTCAATCCGGCCAAACAAAAGCTGTTTCGGCATGCGGTGGCTGGGCATGCGGGCTACATGACCCAGCCATCGCAGCCTTGCCTGCCGGAGGAGCTCACCGATGGGACCCTGCCCAGATCTTTCAAGGATTTGTGAGCTCCTCACACAATCCAGTCTGGTTAAACCCAGGATGGATCGTAGGCAGGTCAGCCTAAATGTTTCTAACCGGCGAAGATGTTCCATTAGGGGGGTCCACGTTTCGCAAGCGTAGAGAAGGGAGGGAATGACCGTGGCCGAGAAGACCTGAAGCTTAGTGCGGAGCGACAGACCAGGTAGCTTCCACACAGCGTTACGCAACCGATGAAAAGATATTGCCGCTCGACTGATTCGGAGTGAGACCTCTGCTGTTAAACTGGAGCCAGTCATAAGCACACTGCCCAGGTATGGGAAACTCTCCACTCTCTCCACAACTGCCCCATCACCGATTGGGAGTTGTGGGGGTGGAGTGTCCGATGGTACAAAATACCCAGGCAGGTGCTTAGTTTTGGTGGGGCTGATGGTAAGGCCCCACCTCTTAGTGGCACGCTCCAGTCTCAGCAGCAGCGTCTCCAACTCCTCCTCTGACTGAGCAGCTATTACCAAGTCATCAGCATACATAACGTGGTTGAGCAATAGGGAGCCATCCCTTGACCGCACCCGGGCATCGATTAGCCTCCCATTATATCTGTACCATATGGAGATTCCCCCGGTACAGCTATTGAAGGCTTCACGAACTACGTGGTCAAAATAGATGTTAAATAATGTGGGAGCCAGAGGACATCCCTGTCGCACCCCAAGGTGTACAGGGAATGGCTCTGACTCCCGGCCACGTAGTTTTACCCGGGCCCGCTCACCATCATGAAGGTCCTTAATGATCGTGAGCAGAGGGTCAGGTACTCCAAAAGCACGAAGAACGACCCAGAGCCCAGGCCTACTGATGGTATCATAGGCCTTGACCAGGTCAATAAAGCAGAGATGTAGGTCTTGTTGGAATTCCCTACACCTCTGCTGTAGCAGACGGACAGAAAATATGGCATCTGTGCAGGACCGCCCTTTCCTGAAACCGCATTGGGGCTCCGCAAGCCTCTCCTCAGCGTGCCTGGCAAGGCGATGCTGAATAATCCTTGCCAGGACCTTTCCCGGCACACTGAGGAGTGAGATGCCCCTGTAGTTGTTACAGTCTGTGCGGTCCCCCTTCTTAAAAAGGGGGACCACCAGGGCATCCTTCCAATCCTGCGGAACCCGTCCAGTGGTCCAGACTGTTGTTATGATGTCATATAGGGCAGTCTGTGCACAAACGCCACCCTCCCTCAGCATTTCGCTTGGGAGATCATCTCTGCCCGCTGCCTTTCCTGGTCTCAGACTCCGGATCGCCTTCAATACTTCCTCAGCAGATGGCACCTCAGCCAGCCACTCACAGGGGGTGACTTCATCCAATATTTGAGGCACCGCAGCCTCAGCAGGGTCATCCTCACTTTGTGCCACGATGTTTTCCTGGCTGTGGGATTTTCCCTCCCCCAGGACCTCACAGAAATGCTCAGCAAATCTGCGAACCTGTTCCTGGGGGTCGGAAATTGGATCACCGTTTTTTTCCCCTAATGATGGTAATAGGTGTGGCGCTGCAGGTTACTTTTTTGATGGAGTTAAATAGCGATTTGTGATCACGGGCCACTGAGGCAGACTCCATCTCCTCAGCAACCCGCGACCACCACCCATCCTTGCAGCGCCTCACGGCTCTCCGAACCTCCGAGCGAAGGCTGCGGTAAGCCTCCTCATTCTCTGACGTGGGATTCTGTAGCCGATGACAGTGGGCCTGTCGCTTTTTCTCAACCATCCTGAACAACTCCTCTGTCATCCAGGGTGTCTGGGGAGGTCTGGACCGCGTACCCAAAGCAGCCATTGCAGCTGCATGAGTCACAGTCCTAAACCTCGCCCATTTACCCTCGACATCAGGAGGAGTCGGGGACGATGCCAATCCCAGCCGCAAGCGATGATGAAATTCTCGCTTGCAACTTTCATCAGATAACTGAGACCAGGCCACTTTAGGTTGGAATGGGGTCCTGGGTGTACACCCACCACCGGAGTGGAAGAATGGCAGGCGCATCTTACAGATGACTAGTCGATGGTCAGAGGGCAGATCAGCTCCACGGTAGGTCCTGGTGTCAAGGACATGGGCTCGCATTCGCTGGTCCGTCACTATGTAGTCCAGCAGATGTTCTTGCTTGGACCCGGCATGCATCCATGATGTTGTGTGGATGCGCCGATGCCGGAACAGCGTGTTGGTAATTACAAGCCCATGGGCTGCACAAAAATCTAGCAGCCTCCTACCGTTGTTATTGAGCTGATCTGGCCCATGCCCTCCAATCACTCCAGACCAGGTGCCAGTATCATGACCAACTCGGGCATTGAAGTCACCCAACATGATGACTCTATCCCGAGGGGCCACTTTAGCCAGCACCTGTGACAGGAGGTCATAGAAGGCATCTGACTCATCGGCTTTGCCTGCATCCCTCCACGGATGTTCATCTTCGGTGGGGGCATAAGTAACCACGACCACCATTCCTCGCCTCCGGTTGATGGGAAGGCGAGCCCAAAGTAGCCTGGGGCTTACAGCTTCCCACACCTCACCGCCACGCTCCCACGCCCCCTTCATTCTTTTAGTTCAAAAGAAGACCCACACCCTGTTGTTTGGCAGTCTGCTGCCCCGAGTAGAGGACTGTCCACCCCTCATGGTGGCAGGAGCCAGAGGCCGGTCCACCGGACCTCCTGAATGCCGCATAGATCCAGGCGGTACCGGTCCAGCTCCCGACAGAGGAGTGGCAGCCTCTCCTCTGCAGTGAGCGTTCGAACATTCCACGTGGCCACCCGTAGTGGCTTTTCGTTGTTTCTGGAGTAGCCCCGAGGGTAGGTATTCAATCTCCTGGCTCCGCCAATTGGGGTTTGGCCAGGAGACGTCATAGACGCCTGGCCCCCCGGGGCCTCCGGCACAAGCTTAGTTGTTACATATTTCACTTTAATTCGTGGTTTTGTGGTAATTAATTGAAGGTGGAGGGGTTACCAGCCCCTCGCACCCGTCCAGAGCCCCCGTTTAGCCCCTGTGGTGGACACATATGCCATGAGGGGAGGAGCCAATCAAAATTGGAACTCCCCCCACAGCACTGTCCACGACAGAGTTGCCCGTCCGGCACCACGAGGAGGTAGGGGGTTGTTTTGCCGGACACACACACACAGACACACACACACGCAGACACACACACACACGCAGACAGACACACACACACACGCAGACACACACACACAGACACACACGCACAGACACACACACAGACACACACACAGACACACACACAGACACACACACGCACGCACACGCGGCGAGGTGAGATGCGTTGCTTCCCATCAAAGCGGCGGCATGTGTCGTATTGAAGTGGTAATGAAGCTCGCGGCGGGGATGGAAGTTCTGACGGGAACTGGCACAGCGTTAACACTGCAGCAAGGCGGGGTGCAGCTATGATGGGTACAGCGATGTGGGGTGCAGCTATGATGGGTACAGCGATGTGGGGTGCAGCTATGATGGGTACAGCGATGTGGGGTGTAGCTATGATGGGTACAGCGATGTGGGGTGCAGCTATGATGGGTACAGCTATGATAGGTAGAGCGATGCGGGATAGAGCGATGTGGGGTAGAGCAATGTGGGGGGTAGAGCGATGTGGGGGGTAGAGCGATGTGGTTGGTAAAGCGATGTGGAGTAGAGCGATGTGGGGGGTAGAGCGATGTGGGGGGTAGAGCGATGGGGGGTAGAACAATGGGGGGGTAGAACAATGGGGGGGTAGAGCGATGTGGGGGGTAGAGCGAGGTGGGGGGTAGAGCGATGTGGAGTAGAGCGATGGGGGTAGAGCGATGGGGGTAGAGCGATGTGGGGTAGAGCGATGTGGGGGGTAGAGCGATGGGGGTAGAGCGATGTGGGGGTAGAGCGATGGGGGTAGAGCGATGTGGTTGGTAAAGCGATGTGGGGTAGAGCGATGGGGGTAGAGCGATGGGGGGTAGAGCGATGTGGGGTAGAGCGATGTGGGGGGTAGAGCGATGTGGGGGGTAGAGCGATGGGGGGTAGAACAATGGGGGGGTAGAACAATGGGGGGGTAGAGCGATGTGGGGGGGTAGAGCGATGTGGGGGTAGAGCGATGTGGAGTAGAGCGATGTGGGAGTAGAGCGATGTGGGGGGTAGAGCGATGTGGGGGGAGAGCGATGTGGGAGTAGAGCGATGGGGGGTAGAGCGATGTGGGGTTGAGCGATGTGGGAGTAGAGCGATGGGGGGTAGAGCGATGGGGGTAGAGCACTCGGCCATTGGCAACAGTCGGCGCGTCATCTGTAATCTGTAATGTGGCGGTCGCCACGCGTCACCCCGGCGTGGTGAAGCTGCCCACAGCGAGACCGCGTGACAACTCGCGCGCACGTGACCCCGCCCACAGCGAGACCGCGTGACAACTCGTGCGCACGTGACCCCGCCCACAGCGAGACCGCGTGACAACTCGCGCGCACGTGACCCCGCCGACAGCGAGACCGCGTGACAACTCGCGCGCACGTGACCCCGCCCACAGCGAGACCGCGTGACAACTCGCGCGCACGTGACCCCGCCCACAGCGAGACCGCGGTCACAAACTGGTGGCCGTGGTCGAGCCCAGGTTCCCAGTTGTCTCTGGCTTCTCTTTGCGTTGCGCTGTTTCTGTTGTTGTCTTCATGGGCACCGCGTTGGCTACGAGATGTTAACTACCTCGCCTGGTGTACAGGAGGTCGTGGGTTCGATCCCGACCCTGACGATGCCTGCTGCTGCTGCTGTATATTTGTAGTTTTTGTGTTTCTCTCTCTCTCTCCGTGGTCGCGTGGATTTTTTAATCGGGGTCCTGCGGTTTTTTTCCCCTCCACATTTAGAATCAACGACATGCGTCCAGATATAATTGTTGGGCTGCTATACATATCGACGTGATGAAGATGAGCCCACTTCGTTGGGCAGCTATCATTTGCGATAGCCAGGTCGAGCTACGTCGCAGCCCAGTGGGGCCTTACCTGGTTAAATAAAAAAAATTTGGTTCATGGTGAAGAAAAAAAATGTTCATCCACAGCTGATACGAACCACCTGACGAATTGGTAGCCTACGAGGCACCGGGGGACATTAACTTACCCGGGGTCTCTGAGTCTCGGACACGGCCTTTGTGAGCCACTTAACAGAGTGAGCCCAGACCATGCTCTCAAACATCGATTCGTCGTTTTATCGGGGGCCACTGCTGAGGGGTGGGGGGCGGGGGTCACGGAGGTCAACAACAACAACAATATATTCTTAGTTTTTTCGGTAAAGTCACGTTGAAGAGAAACAACAAAATAACAAAATATATACAAAACAATAAAAAATTCTCACGACGTTTCGACCATAACTCAAACGGTCATCATCACCTGATGACTGATGATGACCGTTTGAGTTATGGTCGAAACGTCGTGAGAATTTTTTTATTGTTTTGTATATATTTTGTTATTTTGTTGTTTCTCTTCAACGTGACTTTACCGAAAAAACTAAGAATATGAATTACTGCAGTCACGAAAGCTTTAAATCAAAACAACAACAATATTTCGTTGTCTCGGCTCGGCTCAGGGCTTGGGCTCTGGCTCGAGCGAGCCACGGCTGGAGAGCCACAATTTGCAGCCATGCCTCGGGAATTCCGCGAGCCGAGCCACAGCTGAACCGCTCACTCGCTCGTTTGTAGTTGGAAGCGGCTCAACCGTGAGCTGAGCCCTGAGCGTTAAGAGGCCGAGCCAGAGCCGAGCCTGCGACTCAAAATGTGGCTCAGTGAACCCCTCCTCCCGCCCCCCGTGGTAAAGAGAAGGGCCCTCCCGACCGACCGCCGGTGACTCCGGCAAAACCATCATGATCCCGCTTGAGCGCTTTACTCCTTGCCTGACGGCCCACCCCCTGCCCTCCAACCCTCTCCCCCCTGCCCCCCACCTTCTCCCCTCTGCCCCCACCCCATACACCCCCCCCCTCTCCCCCCCCACCAACCGCACTCTCCCGCAGATAAAAGAGCGAGGCGGGGTGGTGGTCGGTGGGGTGGTTGTGGGCGGGGTGGTGGTGGTGGTGGGTGGGTGGGTGGTGGCTGTTGTTGCTTGGGGGTGCGGCCGCGATGAGCGACAGGAGAGGGGTGCGCGCGGGACCCCCGCCGACGCCGCCCGCGTCCCTGGGGGGTCTCGTGGGGGGCGCCGCGCCCTGCCTCGCCAAGGTGGAGCTGCGCGTCTCTTGCCGCGCCCTGCCCGACCGGGACGCGCTCTCACGGCCCGACCCCTGCGCCGTGCTGCTCATGCAGTCCTTCGGGCAGTGGATGGAGGTGAGGATACCACCCACCACCCCCCCACCCCACCCCCACCCCCGCTACCCCCCGCAGTTTCTGGTGGTGGTGGTGGGGAGCGGTGGCGCAGCGGTTAGCGCATTGCGCGACCGGGTAGCGAATGGCCTGTGTTCTGACCACGAGCCGTTCACACGTGGGCACGACTTTTCCCTGCTGCCCTCCCCCATAGTATGACGTCTGTGAAAAAAGAGTTTGTTAGCTCCATCACTACGCCTATCATCACCCCTACCACTACCCCTACCACTACCCTTATCACTACCTAAACCACTACCCCTATCAGCACCCCTACCACTTCCCCTATCACTACCCTTATCACTACCCCAACCACTACCACTACCCCTATCACTACCCCTATCACTACCCCAACCACTACCACTACCCCTATCACTACCCCTATCACTACCCCTATCACTACCCCAACCACTACCTCAACCACTACCACTACCCCTATCACTACCCTTATCACTACCCCAACCCAGATCACTAAACCTATCACTACCCCTACCACTACCCCTACCACTATCACTATCCCTATCATTACCCCTACCACTACCCATATCACTAACGCAACCCCTATTACTACCCCTACCAATACCCCTATCACTAACCCAACCCCTATCACTACCCCTATCACCACTCTTCCCCTATCACTACCCCAACCCCTCCTTAACCACTCCCGCCTGTTATCTTAACTGTCACCATAACTAGACCAACGAATCCACATCATCCTTTATCATCTCAACCGCTGTCGCCTTACGTACCAGTTGTGTCATTGCCGCACAGCGCCATGGTACACGCCGCTGCTATATACATCTACATAGATACATATATTTAAATCTACTCAAGATAAGATTCCCGAGCAACGTACGACGTACAACCTTTTGACCTTAAGGTCAAAATCAAGGACCGGGGCACGATCCGCCCACGTCCTTCAACACCGGGGGAGAGAGAGAGACTTTTGACTTTTAAACAACTTGTATTGCTGCCAGCAGTAACAGCACTGGAAGCGATTCCGATACGAAATACACAAAGTCGCCAGAAAACAAATAACACAAACACTATAAAGCCACGCGCTGTGCGCCGCACACAACACAAAACAGTCACGTGGTGGTGGTGGTGGTGGTCATCGCGCACGCCACGCTGACGAGCGAGCGCTTCAGAAGGTGAAGTTGAGGGTACCGTTCACGCTGGTACAGAGAGGGCCTTTCGGGCCCCCCAGCGTTCGAAGATGACGCGCTGCACATCACCGACACGTGTGTGCGGTACATGGCGTGCTCCAGCCGGAGCTGCGCCTTAAGCAGGCCCCTGAACACTGGAAGCACAGAGCAGCCGTCAGTCTCACCTTGCAGAATCTCTTTCCTCGTCTTGGACACCGCCATCTTCGCTTGAGCACAGACGAAGTTGGCGAGGTCATGGCGCTTGTTAGCCAGGTAAGGAACCCCATATACGAAGCTGCTGTTGTAGAAGGGCACCCCCAGTTTCCTGAAGCTGTTCCCCAAAAGGCGGAACATTGAGTTTAGCCACATGGCTGAAGGCAACGTCCAGTGTGCCAATCTCCACTGGAGGTCACTGCAGCGTGTGGCTAGGGGGGATTTTGACATTTGTTTTCACTGGGGGACAGTCACAATGAGGGGAGAGAAATGGTCTCTCTATTTTGTGCCCGGTAGATCGGCCAGGTCCCGGGAATGCAGCGCCTTGTAGAGCGCTTTCTTCGGAGTGCTCTTCAGGGGCACGTTCCTGCAGCCTCGGAGCTTCAGTAACTTCCCGGAGTCGCTGTGACTAGGGGGCTGCGCGCAGGAGAAGCACAATTCCGGGAAGGGGGGGGGGGGAGGGCCGCCACCGTCCCCCGGTGCCTCCAGCTTCAGGTGCAGCTCCTGCATGACGCAGAGCGACGTCCCGCAGCAGATTCTCCCCAGCGAGCATGGAGCGGAGTCCCCTAGCGGTGCTGGCGATCTCAGCTGCGGTCTTCCACTTGTGTTGGTGGGCCTGTACGAGGTGGAAGACTGTCCGCAGCCTTGCTGATGTGAGGCGATGAGCCAGGGTCCCTCTCTCCTCTGATCCCCTGGAAGAGGCCGTTGCAGAACAAGGGGCTCGTTCAGGAACTGCGCGAGGTCATAGGGCACGCGCGTTCTGCTCCACTCGAAGCTCCGCCACGCGTCCAAGAGACTCCGGTGATAACCTGGCAGCCGCGTGTAGTCGACCAGGCTCCTGGTCCATCAGGAAGAGCTCCTTACCATACCCTAGGGACCCCCCTGCATTCCTCAGCAGGACGAGGACCGGTGACTTCCAGGGTAGCTTCTCCCGGTCATACAGCAGCCGCCTGACTGCCATAAGCCTGAAACTCGTGACCCTGGCGGCGACGTCCACCAGACCCTGGCTACCCTTGCCCACCAGCAGGCAGAGAACGCCCGGCCTGAGCCGGTGCTTCCCATGCCAGACGAAGTGCGCGAGTGAGCGGTTGACTCTGGTGAGTAGCCAAACAGGAGGCTGGAGGGCCTTGGTCTTGTGCCACAGCACGGATGCTGCCAGGGTGTTAGCGACTCGCACTCAGCTCCTGAAAAACATCTGCGGAACGAGGCGTGCCCATGTCAGTAATTTAGCCTCGATTGTGTCGGCCAGCTCGGTCCAGTTGTTCAGAGCGACGTCACGTGGTTTCCCCAGGTAAACCCCCAGCTACTTGACTCCGTCGTCCTGCCGACTGACTCCTCCTGGGAGGAGCACAGAGCGAACGCCGCCTCGCGACCCCAAACACAGGGCCTCGCACTTGGCCCAGTTGACCCTGGTGGAGCAGGCCTTCACGTACACTCCAACCGCCTCGCAGAGCGTGGAGACGTCATGCGCGTCATTGAGCACGACGCATATGTCATCTGCGTAAGCCGAGAGCCTGACGACCGCGTTCTCAGGTCCCGGGACCTTGACGCCAGGCAGATTTCGTCTCAGGTGGCATAGCAGCGGCTCAATGGACAGGGTGTACAGCAGCCCCGAGAGGGGGCATCCCTGTCTGACCCCCCTCGTCACAGGGAAAGGGGCACCGAGCCGCTGATTTATTCAAGAGGCTGGATGTGCCCCCGTGTACAGGAGGCTAACGTGCGAGATGAGGGCCTGGCCAAAGCCGAGCGACGTTAGAAGTTTGTCCACGTACTCGTGGGTCACCCTGTCAAAGGCCTTCTCCTGATCCAAGAAGAGGAGGCCCAAGTCCACGTTGTGCGCTTCTGCAAGGGAGATTCTGTCTCTGAACGTATCGATGTTATTGTATATGCACTGGCCAGGGATACAATACGACTGTTCCGGCAGGATCAGCTGACCCAGCACTGTCTTGAGACGGTTTGCCAGCACCTTGGAGAAGATTTTGTAGTCGGCGCACAAGAGGAACACGGGTCGCCAGTTCACGACGAGGTGCAGGTCCCCCTTCTTGGGTAGCAGGGAGACCACCGCTCTCCTGCAGCTCTGTGGGAGTTCCCCCTTCTGCACGCTCTCTGTCAACAATTGTAGTAGTGGAGGGCCAAGCTCATCCCAAAAGGCCGCATAAAGCTCAACTGGCAGGCCGTCAATCCCTGGGGCTTTACCAGCTGCGAGCCCTTTCACAGTGGTGTGGAGCTCCTGCAGGGTGACGGGGCTGTCCAGACGATCCCATTTGGGGATTCCTAAGGTAGGGCCCCCGTCTAATAGCTCCTGGACAGCCTCGTCTTGTATGGTTTCCGCAGCGAAAAGTTGCAAATAGAAATCCCTGGCGGTCTTGGCGATCTCGCTCTCAGATGTGACTGTTTGTCCATCTGGGGTTCGGAAACTTGAAATTTTGTTGGTGTTGGCCGGTGCTTTGTTTAAGTGAAAGAAAAACTTAGAGGGAGAGTCCATCTGCGACAGGTGCTGCATCTTTTTGCACACCAAAGCACGATGTGCCTGCTCATCCGTGATGGACCTGAAAAGCCGCTGCTTCTCCAGCAGCGTCTCACCCTCCTGTGTGCCGTGGGATGAGCTCAGCTCCACCTCTAGCGCCAACAGCTCGTTGTGCAGTTGGTGCGCCACCTCGTTCTTGGCGGTGGCGTGCTGGCTCATGAACTACTGACAGAGAGCTCTGACCCGCGCCTTTGTATTGTCCCACCATAGCTGGTGGGAGCTGAAGCTGCTTTTGGCAGGCAGCCATTGAGCCCAATAGGCTTTGAAGGTTTCTCTGAAGTCGGTGTCCTCAAGCAGCTGCACGTTGAGTCTCCAGTAGGCGCTGTGCTGCTCCGCTCTGGGAATTCTCAGCAGCACGGAGACCAGACGGTGATCGGAGAAACCGGAGGGAACGATTTTACTGTCCCTGAGCAGGTTAACACTACTGGCTTTGACGTACAGTCGATCGAGCCTGGTAAGGCTTATCCTGCCTTGCGAGCAGCAGCGGCACCAGGAGTACTGCCACTGGGCTGGATGCGGTAGTCGCCACACGTCATGCAGATCCAATCTCCGCACGAGCTCGGCTAGCGGCCGTGCGGATTCAGGATGAGGTTCGGCAGTGTTGCGGTCGAGAGCCGGGTCGAGGGTGCAGTTGAAGTCTCCCCCCCACGACGGTGAGCACGTCGTCCACGTCGTCTGTCGTCAGTGCGTCCCGCAGCACGCCGAAGAAGAGCTTCCTCTCGGGGGCCTTGCTCGGCACGTACACGTTAAAACACCTGAGCCTGGAGTTATTCAGGACAAATTCGACAGAATTCAAGTGACCTTAAACGATTTATTTGAAGGAGACGTTCTCTGGTGCAAACCGCGAACTGAGCACAATCACCACGCCGGCGAGGTTGTCCACGGCGTAGCTGAAGAAGGCCTGGCCACCTAAAAGAGGCTGGCATTGAGCCTCCAGAGTGGTGTCAAGGTGAGTTTCCTGGAGGAGAGTCACATCTGCTTTGTGTTCCCCAACATAGCGGTAGATCTGGTCCCACCTCTTGTCGCTGCGAGCGATGTTACAGTTCAGACTAGCAACCTTAATAGCTGAAGCCATCATGTTG